ATTATTTTATGTATAATTGCTAAGTACAGAAGAAGAAAAAAACACCAATAGGATAAGCGTGTTAGGTTACCAAAATTTTAAAAAGGGTTGGCATGTGCAACATGAAGATTATATGCATCTCAGGGTTACAAGAATTTTATGTAGAGAGGAAATGGCTTTTTCTTCTTTTATGTCCAGCTGAGCTGTGTCTTGTTAACAGTCATTTCACCTTGCTTATCTGAGACAGGAAGTTGGACACCTATCACATCCCTCCATCTCCTTTCAACGAAGACAGATTGGTCTCATCAGCCTTTCCATTCTGAATTCTTCTCCTTTGACCTGTGTCTTTTCAGTTTTATCAGGATAGTGTGTCTGTTTCGGGGGAAGGCTGGATTCTGTCCTTCCTATAGAAATGCTGGTGTGAGGTCAGAGTCACACTGTTCTACCTAAGAACTACCTTCTTTATCTGGGTGGAACAAAGCCATACATCCACACAGCAACACCTTTCTCTTTGGGGATGTCATTCTACTGCTTACCAAGCTTTTCCTTTGCTGCTTTATAATTCTACCTCCAATAATCTTTATAAAATACTGGGATTAAAAAATCCAAAAAGAATCAGGGTAAAGAGCAGCTGTTACCTGGAGCATAAGGACTCAAGAGGAGACAGGACTTTGCTAATGCAAGTTGAGGGCTGAAGGGAAGACTTTGAAAGGTGAACCTTAGAGAGACAAGCTGGCCATTGAAAACTAAATTGCCAACTTGCCTCCAGTGAACAAATGCACCTGCCATTCACATTGCAGCCAATTTGCTGTTTCTACTTTTATCTCTCTCACACAGCATGCTCCAAACTCTCAAAGGTTTTCCTGTGCCTCTTTTTGTGATGCCCAAACCAGCAGGACTTGAAGATAGAGGAGTCTGTGCACACATTTTATTCCCACTCTTTCCCACTCGTGTTGAAATAAATTGAGACAATAATATTCATAAGGGTAGTGAAATTCTAAGGGGCCATAGCTCTTCTTCCAAACCCCAGTGTTACTGGACATGAACCAGCTTTTCAAGATGGTGCATGGCATCTCCATGAAACAGCCACTGGAGCCCAGTCACCAAAGGAGGCAACTCTCTATGCTATGACCATGTGATGGAGGTGAGAATTAATGCATTTAGGCCTACTCACTGAGAAGAACTAACAGCTTCTGTAAAGCCTCCTTTAAAGGATGAAAATGTTTGAAGCCTGGTTTTAGCCCCTATACATTTTTTTCCTACGCAAAAAAAAAAAAACAGAAGAAAAAAAAACATTTGCTCATGAAAGATCACCATGTGACCGTTTTTATTATATAAACGGGGAAGGCACATGGCTCCATAAAAAGAATCCCAAATGACAAATGTAGATTTGCTTATATAAAAACATCTAGTTTAATCCTTTCCTAAAGATTTAATTATTTCAACACATAGCACTGTTACATTTGCACAATAGCTTATGATGCTTCTGCTTACAGACATCTGACTCTCCATGCCTGGTGCTTCTCTCAAGACACCTCTTTACACTTAAATATAGGTTCTTTCCAATGCTTCCTCGGAAGAAAAACCTTGGGGCTGTATCACGTGTAGCTCTTTCTTTCCTCTCCCTTGAAAACCTTAAGTAGAAGTTGTACAAAATATTCTGATGCTGCTGTAAGGATGGTATTTTAATTATACAAAGGAAAAATTCCTCATTGTGGTTTCCCAATCAACTGTAACTCTTGCCTACCATAAGGGAAGAACTCGGGCTTTCGTCTTATGATAGGGAGAAAATGAGAGACATGTAAGCAACAGTTCTTTTCCGCTGTACCCTCCCTTTGTATTTCTGACTTGCTTTCCTATCTTTAAGCTTATCCAGGGAGCAGCCTTCAATTAAAAGTGGAAGTGCTTAAGCAATTGCAGCATATATCTGAGAGAAAGAGAACCAGTCTCAACCCACAGGAGAGCAAATGAATTACAAATAGGAAAAAAAATCCAACATACTCCCCCAGTGCAACATAAATACAATTTAGAAGCTTCAGGCTACTCTACCGAGGTTTCTGAAATTAAAGCTAATAAAAGTTGGTCAGCTGTTCACCTGTTACCTCTCAAAAGTTTATTTACAAAGATGATTCTTCTGACCTTCACTGATTCATTCATTTGTGAGTTTAATTTCCTCCATTTGTTTCAGAAAAAAAGAAAGATATTTAAGATACTTTCTTTTTTTTCACAGTCCTAAACCAGGGACATTGTTACAAGGTAGTCACAATTTGGATGATGCTTCCTATATACCAGGCATCATGTTAATGATTTTATGTGAGGATCTTGTTTAATACTTCTAAAATGTAATGAAGTTAATTTTTGCATTCTGTGTGTAAGAAGATGAAATCAATTTGTTCCCAGAGGGCTTGTCTGGATTGGGAGAGTGGGTTCTTAGGGTCCTGATTAAAAAATGGAAAAATCACACCTGAATGGCTAAGCAGTAAAAGTTTTATTTAAAGAGAAAGTGAAGGATATACTGTGAGCAGCATGACACTTGAGCTAGAGTCATCCAGATGGTGATTATTGCTTAGGGCTTCCTTTACTGGGGTCCAAGAGAAGGAAGACTTAGTTGCTGAAAGCCATAGTGTGTGTAATTTTCCAGTCTTTCTGACAGTCTTGAGTTGTATAAGGCTTGCTTTCCTATGTATTTTCATGATTCACCTGATTTTAATCATATGCACACACAAATATGCTTAGGCATAAGATGGTAAATAAAACATTTCCCCTAAATGTTCACTGAAAGAGCAGGTTATCTTACTTTGCATGGACCCAGAAAAGGGAAATATAAGTTTAGCTCATTGCAGGTAAGGGTCCTAGGTGCCTAGGTACATTGTTAGGAGAGAAATGTGTGTATAGCCCAAACCACATAGAGTCCCAGGTTACAAATCTATTTCTATGCTTATCTACCTCAAAATGAAGATTAAATGCCTAGTAAAGTAGGCATCCAGGATGCAAGACCAGTTTTAAAGCCCAGTGTCTAGTCACTAGACTATACACTGTAAATACATAGTTAAGGAGGTGGTCTGCTTGCTTCACAAGTGTCAGAATTAATCCTTTATCCAAAAATTTACCAGACTCACACTTTTTATGCTAAGTCCTTCTTATATTTATGAACAGTTATTAGTAAAAAAATCACAGGACTCTGATGCTAGCAAATTTCTTAAGTTTTCTTCTCAATAGCATAAGCTTATACTACTGAAATTTGGTAAAAGATTATAATATGGGAATGTCTCTCCCTCCTTCTCCCCCCCACCCCGTGTGTGTGTGTGTGTGTGTGTGTGTGTGTGTGTTTAGCCTCTAAATCTCCAGTTTCTGTTATGACATATGCTAGACCATATAGAGATGTGCAATCAAGGGACATATTCTATGAGCCTGATATAAAAGTCATTCATATCACCTTATAATGATTTGTTTTCCTTTTGTGCCTTTGGAAAAAATTAACAAAACATATATTCCTGATGATTGTTATTGTGAATTGAGAGGGACACAATTTCAAAGTGGTTTTAATTTGCATATCCCTAATGGCTAAGGATGCTAAACAATTTTGCAGAAATTTATTGTCCATTTGGATTTCTTCTTTTAAGAACCATCTGGTCTGTTCAAGTTCAATGGCCCATTTGTGATCAAGTGATTTGGAGTAACAGTATTTAATCTGTACAGTTCTTTATATAGTCTACAGCTTAGTCTCTTATCTGACACATAGTGGGTGTTTTGACTAGGGCTACTTCTGCTTCCAGAAAACACCATGACCAAAAAGCAAGTTGTGGAGGAAATTGTTTATTCCCTCTCTTCAGACACCTCTAGTTTGTGTGTGAAGTTGACCTAAGACTAGCCTGCATAACTGACCCCTTGCCAACTTGACACATAAACACATCATATTAAGCCACAATCTTTCCTTTCTCACTCATCACCAAGATCTCACATTAAAAACATAAATACATAGTACAGTCATAATCTTAAGCAAGCAAAACAAATCCCCAACAATATAAATAGCTCAATGTCCAATTATCTGGGACTCATAATGATCTCTGTGCTCCTCTGAGGAGCTTGAATCACTTCTCCAGCTCTGCCCTCTGCAGCGCACACAGTTTGTCTTCTAGGCTCCAGCTGGCTCCACTCCACTGTTGCTATTCTTGGTGAATATCCCATGGTACTGGCATCTCCAAAACACTGGTGTCTTCTGCTGCAACTAGGTTACACTTTCATCAATAGCCTCTCATGGGCTCTCTTCATGGTGCCAAGCCTCAATTTCTCTGCATGACCCCTTCAGTCCTGAGCATTTAACTGTCCACTGAGGTTTCAACCCCACCAATGCCCTCTCCTGGCCTCTCACAGTGCCAAGCCTCAGCTGTTCTCCATGAACCCTTCATTACATCAAAATCGGTAGCACCTGGGTGACTCTTACACTCCTATGCTTGGTTGTCAGTGTAAGGTACAGCATTGGCCACCTCTGAAACACACCTGTGTGCTGACTTTCAGGAAGCACTTCCCAGAAGCTTTCACCTCCATGATCCTGGTCTCTTCTTAATCACCTATAAATTGTCAGCTCCCACCAATCAGCATCAAGTATCCCAGGAAAGCAAAGGTTCCCCTTTAGTAGTTATTATAATTTTTAATCACAGCTGGTTCTTCAGACTCTGCTAACCAGGTTGACAGTATCTTAAATCCAAATAACAAATAGCCCCGATAGTCTTGAAACTTCCCTCTGAAATTTCACAAGCTTCACCATCTTCTGCAATACTCTCACCATTCTCATCTTCCAAACTCCCACAGAACCTCACACTGAGCTCTCAACACTCAATGGCTTTTCTAGTCCAAGATACCAAAGGCCTTCCACAATTCTCCCCCAAACATTGGCAGGTCTATCACAGCATTATTCCACTATCATGGTACCAACTTGTTTTAGTTAGGGTTACTATTGCTTTGACAAAACATCAAGACCACAAAAGTAAGTTGGGTAGGAAAGAGTTTATTTTGCTTACACTTCCATATTGCTGATCACTGAAGGAAGTCAGGACTGGAACTCAAACAGGGAAGGATGCTGCAGACAAGAGCCATGAAGTATGTGGCTTACTGGTTTGCTTTCCATGGCTTACTTAGCCTGCTTTTTTAGGGAACCCAAGACCACCACCAGCCCAGGGATGGTACCACCCACCATGGTCTGGGCCCTCCTGCGTTGATCACTAATTGAGAAAATGCCTTGCAGCTGAATCTCATGGAAGCATTTCCTCAAATGAGTCTCCTTCCTCTCTCATGACTCTAGCTTATGTCAAGTTGACACAGAAAACCAGTCATGACACAGTCATTTATTTCTAATTTCACTGACTATTGTAAGAGGCTTGTGAGACTCACAGAAACAAAAACTATGTAACTTTTTCCTAGTACATACATGGTTGCACTCTCTCTCTCTCTGTCAACATAGAGTTGATCTGTGGGCATGTTTATGGAGGGTTGTCTTAATTAAGTAGACAGCCCACCCTGGGTTGCATTATTTCTTGAGCAGAGGACCCAGAAGTATATAGGAGTGGAAAAATTACACTGGGCACAAGCAAGCAAGCAGTCAAATAAGCAATTATATATTCAGTTCCCTCTGATCTTGACTGTGAAAGTGGTGTGACTCCTTGAAACCCCTTCTCTAACTCTCGTACAATGGTGAAGTGTAACCTGGAATTTTAAGCTGAGGTAAACCCCTTTTACTTCTTTTTATTTTTATGCTCAATTATCTTTTCTTATACACTCATGAACTTCTGTCTAGCATATACTGCCATCCACTGTGAGTAATGGACTACATTTCCAGAAGTGGAAACTGTTTGGAAGGTTAAAGGGGACCAGAAATGATGGGGCAGAAATAAATGTCAGGAGTCAGTGGGTTAGGACAGTGAGAGAAAGTAAAGATGAAAAGCGAAATATTTTGATACATGTATATGAAAGTATGATAATGAAATCCACTACTTAGTGAAATCCACTACTTAGTGTGTTAATTACAAAGCGAAAGTTATCACACATATATAGCCATTATACCTTCTCTAAATGATTTAGCCTAGAAGTTAAAAAATACCATCTACTATACATAGTCTTTGAAATGACAAATACCATGGAGTATATAGAGAGTTGTCTAATAAAAGCAGCCCTACCAAGTCAAAGGACTCACAGTTTCAGAATCTAGGTCTTCTGATGCCTTTCACTGTGTAAATGGAACTGCCCATAAATAATACTGCAGTGCAGTTATATGAGTCAGGTCTTATTTTCTACTGAGATAAGCACATTATCAGCTTGTCCCCCTAGTATTTTCCAGAAAATTTCTTCATTTGACCTTAAAAATAATTTCCATGCTAGAAATATGTTCCATGAACTTCCTTCCATCCATCCTTCCTTTATTTATTTATTTACTTATTTACTTAATCAAGAAGTGATTATGTAATAAGGAGACCTGGAAAATGTCCCTTATAGAAGCTTTTCACTATGAGAAAGTTGAAGATATATACAAATCATGTAGAAACATGGTTCTGCTAAATTATAATTTTGTAACTTTGTAAGGAAGATCAGTGCAGAGGTCCTGAGGCTTTTTGTTGATTATGTAACATACTTTCATAAATAATTTCTGAGGCTTTGTTCTCATCTTCTAGTAGGGACATGGAGAGAAAACTAAAATTCTGCAGTTCAGAAAGATTCTAAGGAAAACCAAAAATATCATGTGGGTCTCATCCCTGTCCCCTTCCTTGCCCAGCAGCTGCAGTATTTACCAGCAAAACTGCAGATGGATTCGGAATTTTGTTAAGAGTGCTGGAGAACAAGAGTATGCTCAGTACAGTGTTCCCTCAAGCAGTTTCTAGGAATATCCCATGCAGCTTCATAATCTCCATAGGTGCAAATATAAGTTGTGACTCTCTGCTACCTTACTAATTAAATCAGTATTATTTTATACTACCTTATCCTGGAATTTGCAGAGAACTTGTTCATATCATGCCTCATATACACAATTATTTAACACAAATGTAAGAATGTCAAGTGTCTAGGATACTTAACTTACATGATCAAGGATCTGAAAATAGGTCCTTCAAGGTCCGTAAAAAAAAGACAGATCATCAGGACAGCTGTGTGGGTGGGAAACTTGTGACAAATAGCAAAGACAAAGTAACATTCTGAATTAGGCCAAGAAGGCAAGGTATATCTTTGGATTGTGTCTTCAGTCCTCAGAGTAGAGGATAAATACCTATATCTTTTATAGATGATGGTCAATATTATCAGAGAAATATAAATCATCAGAACATTAAAAAGTGGATAAACAGACTGGAGACTGAATTGTATAGTTATTAGTAGTTTGCCATTCAAAATCTATAATGAATGAAGGTTTTCATAAAATGATCATTATCTCAAAATACCATGAACCTTTAGAAAACTTCAAATCCAGTCTCCAAGTTTTAGACAAATGTGCCTATATACAGAAGTTGTACAGTTTGCTTTCTAATGCTATAACTGTAAGAGCTACTACTGGTAGTTGTAGTGCAGATCCTACTGAGTTTGCCTGGCTTGTGAACCCTTGATGATATAGCAGCTGTGCCATCTGGAACGTATATGCATCCCAGTTGGATGACAAACTAGGATAGGACTATGATAATGTGAGCACTTTTCATAATAACGTGCCTCACTTTCCCCAATGTTGTACTAGACAGAACCCAAGTATATGACCTCAAACTCTTTCCAAGGAACTAGAAAATGTGGGAAAGTTCGTGCATATTCCCTAGGTATAAGAACATTCTCTCAGCCCCCAAAAACATAATAGATGATAAACTGAGAAGACCATTATGAAGTGCCTTCAAAGTTAGCAGCCCACACATTAATCCCTCCAGGAAGCAGATGGACGAAAGGATGGGGTCCATAATTCACAGAGAATAAACAAGACCAATGTAAGAAATGTCCAAGCAGACAGCTAGCTTGGGAGCCAAGGATAAAATGTTAATGTGTTTATCTTTCCTTATGCATTGCTTTGGACAATGTGAAGCATTTGAAACATTTTAATAGAGGGTATTAAATGAGAGAAGATAGAACTCCACTTGAGAAATATATGTGCCCATGGGAAGTGCTGCATCTCTCATCCCACACCCATTCTTTCTCTCACCCAGTACCACGTGTGTCAGTGGAGCTCATTAAAGTTCTATAACAAGTGAAATGGTCCTCTCTACCCATGAGGATCTGCGAACTAAGATAAATTTTGAACCACTTTAATAATCTGATTGAATGAAAGAGAGAGGTTGTAAAAGTTTTAATGTGTGAATGCTGGATTCAAGTGTCAGGAATAGTCCTAAAACATGACATTTACAAATATGAATGGCTTGATCCCAAACAAGGGCACCAGCAAAGCATATTCCTGTCGGATTGACAATTTTTCTTCTTTACAATGTTTTAAGACACTTAGAACCACATTTGTAATAATTTACTCGACTTTGTAATTAGATTTACTGATTAGAATCTTGCTCACTTAGATAGTTGTTTTCCCTTAAATGAATGGCACCAGCTGGCTTATAGCTGAAACCTGCTCTGACTCAGAAAGCTCTCAGAGGGGCCAGCATAAGGCAGCACATCGTGGTGTACAACCTCATGCTAAGGTACAAAAGGACTGACTGATGTTACGTTCTGTAACACTACTTTAATAATACTGTATGTACATTAAATATGTTGGAGAATTTCTTTAAACCCTAAGCCTTGGCTACCCTGAGCATATATTTTATTTGCATGACAAGGGAAAAGGCTGCTATTATTTTCTGTCAACCTCTAATCATTAGGGCAAACAGCTAAAAGTCTACTTTCAAGTTGAGCCACTCAGGTTATTTCACCATGAGGAGAAAGTGATGGCTGTATAATTAAGAGAAGAAAGCATTAGCCAGAGGCTATGAGAGCAAGGCAGTCACAAGTAGGCCCGACTCTGTTTCCATATAATTTTACCTACAGTGCTGAAGATTCAGTAAGTTGTCCCACTCTCTTATCACACAGGCTATGAGAAGACTTACCATGTTAGAGACTATCTATATTTGCTAGTGTGACCAGTGGGAAGAAGTTTGACTCCTGGAAGTCAAGGGCTCTCAGCAAACACATCTCTCACAGCCTGCTATATTCCAGAGGAGTGTAGCCTCCTCCTGAGGCAACTGTATGGGGAAATCTAGTACCAGACAGATGGAGCAGATTGCCCTTTCCCCATGGGTTGTAAAGGAGATATGGGCTGAAAATAAAGACTATTCTGGACAGCCACCAGGCTTGTTTCTCAGTCCATCTGGAGCTGCTGGAATGGAGAAAAATACAAGAGTCCTGCTGGCTGCTACAGCTTGAGTCTCTTGTTCAATCTGTGGCTTATGAAGAAGATATTCTGCCAGGCACCTCTGGTCAGATGAAATAAGACACTGAGACTGGCTATGCCTATGCCGGTGCCTGACATCCTAGGTTGCCTCTTTCTGGATCCCTGTCTTGCGTCTGCCCCCCTATGCTTGTTACAGGACAGGGATTAAGGAAGTGGCTGGCTATCTACCTGCCTCAGTTCACAAATAGAAACTCTCCTTTTATGTTCTGCAAATTTCAGTTGAGACATGTGGTTGATAGGTTACTTTCTGGTTCAGCACTTGGGCAGTACCTAATACAGAGCTGAGGCAGAGCCTACCAAGGGATACTCCTGGTCCCTCCCAGAATGCTTGCTGATTCTGACATCCCAGAGGCATTTGCTTTCAGGATCCCTCACCCCTTACCTTTCCCACAGTCAAATCTTTTTCCAATATGAGCCCAGAACTGCAGTAGAAGTTCAAACCATCTCTTTCAGGAAGGGTCAGTGCACACATCATGTTGCATAAGTGCAGCACAATGAGATGGATACAAACATGGTAGCAGAGGGTCATGCTGCCTCACAAATCATTTGCTGGAGTGCTCCGGCCTCACAGTGTGTTACCAGGAGGCTGCTTTTTGTGAGAATTGATCAACTCTCCTAAACACAGGTGCTGTGCGTGTTTATGTGTGAGCCTGGGAGCCAGGTGGGCAAGATTTTGATAGGCAGTGTTGGTTTCCTAAGGACATGACACTTTGAATAAAACATCA